GGATGATTGTGGACATCGCAGTTGTTGAATGTACATACCTACCTATGTATGTGTGTATGTAGTTTTGTTTTCGTTGTTTTGGGAATATGACTTGCAATGGCAAAAAAAAAAAGGAACACAAAGGCCAGAATAAGGTCAGCGAGCGCTCAAAACAAACTCAAAAAAAAAAAAAAAAAAACTAGAAACAGCAAACACAACAAAGCGGAAGACTTGGGTGATGACAAAATTTCTGGTTTAAACCAAGAAATTGCACACCGCTTGCATGTAGTTCTCATTCTCTTTTCAAATGTTACATATATTTTCTCTTTTTAACCAACATTTAAGAGAGTTATCAAATGCTATAGTTTCAATTCAATGAGATAACTTTGTTTGTGATTCTTATTGGGCGATTCATTTCGACTGCATCCCAGTGAATATTTTGAGTTTCATAAGAATTTTTCTACTTTTATTTACAAAGTTTTTGGCACAAGCAACCGCTTGGAACTTTCTGGTGTACAACTGATAAAAATATAAATTTTATAATAATTTTGGAAGGGACCGTACCTGTATATGTCCTGGTATTGAGGCCATATTAACTTTGTAAATCTGAATGTGTTTCCTCGAAATAACCTTTTCAGGTTCTTAAAATAATATAATCTATATATTTTTCATCTGTTTCGAACAAATTAAGGTACACAGTAAAATAAGGTCGTAAATAGGTCATACAGGTCCAGTTTTTGTGTAGCAAGCATATAATTGTATTTTGAAGATTCTCTAATGACATGGAAGTCCTGGAATTCGGCATTAGAGGTTCTAAGTAGATATCTAACCTTTCAGCAAGAAAATAGTCAAAATTCGGTGTTTTGGATGTTCCTGCCACATTTTCAATGAAATTTTCACTAATTTGGGTATTCGAATTCCGCATAGACAATTAATATGTTATATGTTATAGGTGCACACTTTAGTAAAGCCCTCAAACAATGGTACTGCCCGATATCGGCATTTATGCAAAAAAATGCAGAGTGTTTATGTTAGCACCTGACTTAAGCATGATACAATTATTACGATAAACTCTCTGTATGGCTATTTTCAAGAAAATATATCCTTAAAAATTTCTTAACTAGAGGATTTGCACTGATATATCCTAATTTCAAACCAGATCTTATATTTGTCGAATATTTGAGAAAAGTGCCCAATTTTTAATACCCTCCATCATTGGAAGGAACTTGCTAAATGTAAAAATTCCGTGGAAAAAATATTTCTAAAATGATAAAAATACTGAATATCGGGTGGTACAGTAATATGGGGGGTATACAAAAGAATGCGCCTGTATTACCAATTATCTGCCAGAGAAGGCACATTACGATCTTCAAATACCAATTTTTAAATATTTCCCTTAAAAATGTAAAGAACATTGGAAAAATACAGATGACGTGGACTTCCATAGGCAATTTTCTGTTGTAAGAAGTAGCACCCATTGCGAATTTGAAATTAAGATTTGGATGTAGCCCCCATACACAGGGTGAGAAAAAAAAATTGCAACAAAGTCAAACGCCATAATTTTTACTTTTTTTTTTTAATTTTATTTAGATATTTAGATTTAGAATAAGTTTAGATTTGTTCGAATTGGTCACCTTTGGCATGAATTATGGCCTTCAAACGGCTAATGAAACCGTCACACGCTGCTCGAATGTTGCACTGCGATATTTTAGGTGAGGTGATCGACACTTTGGTAATTTTTAGTGCCAATCTTCCTTTTCAAAATACTCCGGACACAATAGTTCAACGGATTGGTATCCGGATATTTTGGTGGCCATTGTGCGCTGGAAATGAAGCGAGGAACCTCATTTTGTAACCATTCTTGGGTGGCGCGAGCTAAGTGCGATGGTGCTGAGTCCTGTTTGAATGTCCAAAGTCTGCGTCCAAAATGTTTGCGTGCCTAAGGGTTTTAATACACCCTCCACAATATTTTCGCGATAATATTCGGCGTTTATTCTGATGCCATCGTCGATTAATACGAGCGGAGAGCGACCATCGGCTGTTATGGCGGCCCACACCATCACCATGGCCGGTGCTTGAGTTCTGGTGGCCAACCGAAGGTGCACATTTTCAGCTGACCTCTTTGGCAAGTAAACACGATCATTTTGTTTGTTCACAAACTGCTGGACAATGAATGTTTTCTCATCGGAGAAAACCGAATTCGGCAGTTCACCACTTTCGGCCAAGCGAATCAACTCTTTAGCTCCTTCGAGTATATTTTCTTTCTGTTGCGGTGTAAGTTCTTGCACTTTTTAGAATTTCTGTCGCGGCGTAAGTTCTTGCACTTTTTGGAATTTCAATGGCTTTACCCCGAGCTGATTTTTCAATATTTGCTGAATGGAATATTGCGATATGTTCAGCTCACGAACCATTTTTCGGCCACTATGATGCGGGTTTCGTTCAAGTCTTCTTTACTTTTCGAACCATTTCTGATGATGTTGCTGTTTTTTCCGTCCACTTCCTTGACATTGGGCTACGCTACCAGTATTACGGTAACGAGCGATGATACGAGACACAAAATATTTATTCACACCTAAATGCTGGAGTGCTCTAACGATAGCCACTTGTGGTTTTCCAGCCAAATATAAAGAAATCACACTATAACGCTTGAATTCCAACACGAATAACTTTTTTTCTGGAAAATTCTCACCAAAATGCTTTTGCACGCTTCTAAACAATATAATGAGCTGTCACTGAATGATTTTAACAGCTGTCGGACGATGACAGCAGTCTGAAATTGGACGCAGTTTTTCATCTCACCCTGTACCCTTTGGATCATGATGTTAAACTTTTCAGAAAACCATAAAGTTGGTGAGGCCGTTATATTTGGCCCATTCCAAAAAGGGGACCTCCAAAAACAATTTTATATTTCTAGGCTTGTCATCGACGAAATCTTCTAGAATACCAAATTTGAAACAATTTCGTGTGTAAATGTGACTAGGATTATCAAAATACCGAGTATCGGCTGGTATCGTTTTATGTGCGTTATAGGAGAACGTGGGCCTAAAATTTCTTGCTTAAATCCCAAATTGTTCGTCCTCAGGCAAAATTTCACGATTCTAACTAAAAATTTGCCCGCTTAAAATAATGTTTAAAACTAGTTTTTCATTTGTATATAAGTTTGTTGGGTTACATATTACAAAACTGAATTCTCTTAAATTTTATTAAATATGTTCTCTTTCATGCAATGCAACAATGTTTACTCTTTCTCTCTCTCATTGTTTCAGGGCAGAAACCTCCAACACTCATTCACTCGCTCTGTTAACCATCATAATATGGGATGGAAACTAAAGAAACAATAACAAAAATATTGGTAACTAACATAGCTTTGTTGGTAAAGACGGGGGGATATCATTATTCTCTCCCAGTTGTGGCCAAAGCAAAGAAGCAATCATACTCTACTCTAGTATAAATTAATGTGGTTGTTGTTGTTGTTGCTGTTCGGTTGGTTGGTTGGTTGCTGTTAACAACTACTACCATACATACGATTGAAACGACGAAACGAACGTATGTACGTACAGACACCAGCAAACAAATGACGGTTGCCGTTGGTAACTTAACGTTAATGTGTTGTTTGTTGTTTTTTGGCCATTCAGTTTATAACGAATGCTCGGCCTGATAACTTGGTTAATGATGAACGCTATTGAGTTGGAAAACTAAAAAAAAAAACAAAATAAAAATATGAAAACAAATTGAGAAAAATAAAAAGAATAATAACAAATATAATAAAATCAAAATCGCGCGCGTTGCAAATATATTTGTAAAGTGGATTTTTTGTTCTTGGCATGTTTTTATAAATAAATATTTAAATAAAACCGTAATAGAGTTTCTAATAAAAACAACTCTCTGTGTGTGAATTGAAAAAAAAAAAAGAAAAATAACCAAGCCAAACGGAAATACCATATAGTGCAATAATAGCAGCAGCAACAACAACAAAACATTTGTCAAGAGCCCTGAAACAATTGCAAACTTGACTGACGGAAGTCTATGTGCCTCTCTCTCGTGTCTTTGCTCTTGCTAGCCATGTTGTTGTTAATGATGTTTCAGTGGAAAATTGAAATAATTTAAGCCAAATAAAAGGGAAGTGTTTGAAAAATCGAAGAAAAACGGAAAACTAAGTTTAAAAGAAATATATTTTAAAATAAATTAAGCCACAACAAAGTTTGAAATTGTTTTACCCAATAAATTACAACAAAGAACCTAGTGGGCCCCCCAATTGAGGTGCATTGTCTCTGCTTAAACACGAAAAGAGAGAGTGGGAGAGAAAAAGAGTTATTATTGTAACAGTGGCAATTTAACCGCATGAGATTGCAATTGACAACAATAACAAGAACAGCAATTGCAATAAGAATTTTACTCAGCTATCAAAGCAATTGATTGGATGACCGTAAGAACAATAACAAAAATAAAAGCAACAACAACTACAGTGAAGATATCTCAGTTTTGAAGGGGTTTATTTGTGATTAAAGTCAATCTATAAAAGAAACAGATAATTTGAACAATATTTTAAAAATAAAAACAAAGTGGAAATATATTAAATAGTGGAAATCCCCAAAAAGGTCTAAAATAAAAAATATAAAAAAATAAATATTTAAAAGATATTAAAGTTTAGAAAAAAAGTAAATCTATAAAAGAAACATATAATTCGGAAAATATATTAAAAATAAAAACAAAGTAAAAAATATATTAAATAGTGAAAATATCCGAAAAAAGTAAAAATTTTAAATTTATTAAAGTTTGGAAAAAAATAATACAGCAAAAATTGTGTTGCACATAGAAAAATTGAGTGGAAATCACAAGAAATTTTATATAAAAAATATCATCATAAAAATAAATAATAAAAGTGCAAATAACCCAAAATAAGAAAAAAAACTAAAGTAAGAAGTTTCTAAAAAAAATAATTACCTTAAAAGAACTATTAGGAAAACTAGCAAAATTTTCAATGATATAATTTGCAAACATAGTTACAATTACAAACAAAAAATTATTTGGCTAAAAAAATAAATAAAAATAAACGTCTGGAAAATAAATAACGCAGAAGTTAAAATAAAAATAGAGAAATCAGTTAATATAAATTTAAAAAAGTAAAAAAAAATAATTAAAGTAAAACAATTATATATCAAAATTTAAATTTACAAAATATATACATTTAAAAAAATATTAATAAAAAATAACAAAAATAAAAAAACACAAAATTTAAAAATAAACTGCAACTAACTGAGAAAGAAATTAAACGAAATCCCAAAAATAACAGCTAACGTTAAAACAAATCACAACATCTCTTATATAAAGAAATTAGTAAAATTGGAAAAAAGTTAAAATTAAATATTTTTTATATACTGCAATTTATTTACCATTAAAAATAAATACATAAAAAATTAATAAATTATAGCAAAATTAAAAATAAATTGAAAATAAGTGCAAACTAAACAAACCAATGCCCCCAATGTTAATGTGAAAGGAAATACCTGCCCATAAAAAAAAAACAAATAGCTGAAAAAAATTAAGTTCAAACTTAACAAGGAAAAAAATAATTACTAAAAAATACAACAACAACACCAACCAAACAGCCATACACAAACAAGTGTTATTTCACAATCAAAACAGAAACGTGTACATTATTTTCCAGAAAAATAAAATAACAGCAACAACAACATCAACTACTAAATTTAACCAAAAAATATAAATTATATACTAAAAACAACTGTATTAACGCACATTTCGTACTGAGCGTGTGTGTGTCTACTGCTGCTGCTGCTGTTTTTTGGCGTTACACTTGATTCAACAAAGCGTGAAGTAAGCAAAAACAAAAAAATACTGTTTTTATTATTTTATATATTTTTTTTCATTTATTTTTGTACATATTATTTATTATTTATTTATATTGTATTTATTCATACGCTTCAATATCATCACACTCACTTCCATTGCAAAACCCGCCTTGAGTAATTTGCTTTATAATAATCCATTTTAGAAAAAATGATTATCACTTAAATACTAAAGAAGTTCAGTTTTTGTTTTGTGGTTAGAAGAAAAAAACATTTTTAGATTGAAAACCAGTAAAGAAAGCCCTAAAGTCGGGCGGGGCCGATTTTATGATACCCTACACCACTTTGCTAATTTAGTTGAGCTCCACTTAATAATTAAAAGTTTTTATGGGAGAATTCAATCATACACGCTATGATTATAATTATAATTTAAAATTCAAAGGACTACATATGCCGAAGCATTTGTATCTTTTAAATTCGGACTTGTATTGCCCATTTGGTGCGAAATTAATTTGAAATCGGATAAAGATATATATGGGAGCTATATCCAAATCGGAACCGATCTCGATAAAATTTGGCAAATATATTTCTGTGCTGTATTTGATATATTTCCCTAAATATCGTTGTTACGGAATGCATATTACGGCTGTGGGTAACCAATATAACAAATCGGATGAACAGTATATATTGGAGCTATAGCTATATCTGAATCGATCTTCACCAAATTTGACATACTAGCTTCTGGACTCAATTCGGTTGTAAGTGCCAAATTCCATCCCATTTGGACAAATATTAGACGTTTGGTGCACAATAAAAGGTAAATCGGACGCAGTTATATATGGGAGCTTTATCCAAATCTGAACCGATCTCGATAAAATTTAGCATAGGTATTTCTAAGCTCTTTTTGATATATTTCCCTAAATATTGTTGTTACAGAGTGCATATTACGGTTGCGGAGGACAAAAATAACAAATTGGATGAACAATATATATGGGAGCTATAGCTATATCTGAACCGATTTCAATCAAATTTGGCATACTTATTTTCAGGATAATTTGGTTGTATGTGCAAAATTCCATACTATTCGGGCTGATATTACACGTTTGGTGCACATTAAATTTTGACCGTTATCTCCAATTTCAATAGGGTTCGTCCTTGGGTCAATCAAATGATTTGTGCAAAATTTCATCTGGATAGGGAAATAAATGCGAACTTTACTTTGCTTACAAAAATACATGGACAGACGGACGGACATGCATAAATCGACTCAGAATGTGATTCTATGCAATTCATCAAAAGGAACTATGGGTCTATCTCGCTTCCTTCCCCATGTTACAAACAAATGCACAAAGACGTAACACCCTTACCACAATGTGTTGTAGAATATAAAAATCCGACGGACCTAAAAAATATTTATGTAACATTTTATCAATCCTGTTCTTCCCAGGCACAAATTCAACTCTGTAATAGAGTCTTATGGAATTTTAAAGCATGCAACAAATGATTTAGATTATTCGACAATATATTTACAAAATTTATTATTTTTGGAAAATTTACAAATCATGAATAGAGAGATGGGTTTATTGAACAAATAATTAATATATAAAATAGGAGGACAATATTTTTTATAAAAAATTGTCGATTAACGTAAAACATATGCATATTTGTGGCAACTGAATTTTCAATAATTTCAAATTGTTTTTACTATTTTTTTAAAACAATACACACATTTCTATAGACTGTAAATATGTTTCCTGTTATTGTGATCCATGATCCATTTCAAGTTCTCGTCAATACGTATTTAAATAGCTGCAGTTTTATAATATCCAAAGTTATTTGTTTAGATTTGAAAGAATATTTTTTAAAGAAGCAAACAATTCTTCTTTTTGTATCACACAATAGCCTACATAACAAAGATTGGCTTGGAAATAAATATTCGTATTAGAAAACAAAAGCTTTGAGAGTTTTAGGCAACAAAACAAAATATTTTGGATTTAATTTATGGTCCAAAGAAGAAAACTAATAGTTGATCTGATTATTGTCGATCTGGAGTATCACACCTTTGATTTGTTAGATCACAGACAGTTTCTCTATTATTTGTTAAGATTTTGACACAATATTTTAAATCCTAATAGCCATTAACGAATAAAGCATTTATTTTGAAGTATGGCTGTAAATACATTTCGGAGTATTTAACGGTCTTAGGGTTAAGCTGGGCGACATAAAGTCACACAATGTGGAGCATTTTTTTTTTGTTGTATAGAAATGGAAATAATTTAAATAAAAAGACGATAGAAATTATGTGCATGAGTTGAAAACTGAATTCGAAAATATTGGTTTTATATTGAAATGTTTTTATACCCTCCCCTACCCTACAGGGTTGGCCATATTCGACGGACCCATCTGGCAACGCCATAACTTTTGACAGAGATGTCACATCGCTTAATGACATACCGCGTTTGAAGCGTCAGTCCAAGCTGATTTTTTCCATGAACCAATACACGCCACGCGAGTGCTCTGAAATAGTTGAAATTTACAAGAAGTCAATTGTGAAAACTCAACGTGCTTTTAAAACATTAAAAAATGTGAGAAGTGCGCCTTCTAAGAACACCATTAAGCGTTTATACGAACAATTTTCGACTGGTAAGGCTCTTTCTAATCCGAAGAGGCCATATAAAAGTCGACCAAGGCGATCGGCCGAGAATATCGCTGCCGTACGAGACAGTGTTGAGAGGTCCCCAAGAACATCCCAAAAACGCCGTTCTCAGCAGTTGGGCATGGCTCGGTCCACTTTACAACGGATTATTCGCATTGATTTGCATTTGTTCCCGTACAAAATTCAATTGACGCAAAGAATGTTGCCTGCGAACAAGCCTCGTCGATTGCAATGGGCCCAAAGGTCCGTCGAATATTGGCAACCCTGTATATATTGTATTTAGTATGGAGGTTATATTGAGTTCATCATTGACATAATAATTTTAGACACAAGAAAGTATATATATTCTTGATCAGCTTAAAATTCTTAGATGATTTAGCTCTGTCCGTCCGCCGGTCTGTTGTAATTACGCTATAAGGGCCCACGTCTTCGTATAGACACAATATAACGGTACCTCCTAATATTCGGTATTTTGACGATATTAGCGACATTATTCACCGGATGTTTTAAATCTCGTATTTAGAGTTCGTGATGGGAACTACAGTCTATCCCAGAATATCGTCTATACATAACCAGGTCTTCGTATAGGCCCATATATCACTACTTACCTATATTCGGTATTTTGACAATTTTAGGTACAATATTCACTGAAATTGTTTGAAATTTCGTATTTGAAGTTCCTAATAGGTATTAAAGCCTGTGACAGAAATTAATGTCCAGGTCTTCGTATTGCCCTGATATAACGGTACCTCCCTATGTTTAGTATTTTGATGTTTTATTATTCACCGGATTGTGTTTTAATATTTCGTATTTGAATATTGTAATGGCTTATGACAAAAGTTGCCTATGCAGGCCCACGTCTTCATATAGTCCTCAATATAATGGCTATATTCGGCATTTTAACAGAATTTTTAACGGATTTTATTTTTATTTATTTATTTATTTTTTTGAAAATTTTCAAATTCCTTCCAAATGGTGGGGTTTATTCAAAGTTCTGTCCGCCGAATTTTCTGCTTTTTTACTTGCTAATATTCAAAATATGAACATTGGAAAGAAAGTATCAGAAGTAGTGATGGCATATGTCCCATATTCACTCTGGATCTAGAGTTCGCAAGAATATTGTTATGTGTGAAAAATCTGGATTTTTTTTCCGCATTTTATGAATTATTATTCAAAATATTGATTTTTGTAGGTACCAAAAACAGTGGAATGATATTGACGATGTTTAGTCGTGTCTGATATTAATATTTCGATGCCCAAAATTTCAACCGAATCGGAGACTCGTATGGAATTTCATGAGATTTGTTGACAATTTGTCTGTTTTTGCTGGAAGAATTTGAGGAGTTGACCGATATAATCCACCATCATTAAAGACTTAGTGGCAACAGAAATATTGGAATGTGGATCAATAGTTATTTCGCATTTATTGACAAGAGTTGTATATATTTACTCTCCATCCAAGTTCAGGATAAGCATTTCTGCCAGTAGAAGAAAATTGAGCATACTCTTTTTTCGATATAAATCGAATTAGAGCAAGTATACTTCTCTTGTTTTGGAGTGGCAGTAAAATTCCGTCAGATTCTAGCTGGGAAAGTCCTCTCCTAGTTTTTGTCATATCGTTGGTGCATTTGCACGTATTTTTTGTGGTTATTGTACACAAAATCCACCGACTACTTCTGTTTTTTTTCCTTACTTGATTTTCACCCCTCTCTATCAAATCCAGTTTGGTTTTATACAGTAATCGGAGAACAATATAATCTGTTCCACTCGATTTCACTCTTAGAGTAAACTCTTATTCTATTTTGAGCGAGTCGACTCCTACTTTATTTTTCAAATAGGAGTGATTCGGGAGAGCTCCCACATTAAACAAAAGTGTGAAGAGTAAACTCGTATAAAACTCCAACTTTTCAAGTGCTCCCGCTCCCAAGCAGATTTCACTCCCGAGCGCAAATGTGCGATTTTTTTCAAACCACAGGTGAAACCAAACCAAACACGTTGAAGAGCATTGTCGGTACCAACAAAGCATATGGTAGTACCCTTCGAATACTCCTGAGCTAGGGTTGGTTGTTATAATGATGCCCAGCTACACGAATACGACAACTGCTTTAATCGGAGACATTTGGTCCATTGTGTGCATCCTAGAAAGTAATGAAAACTTTGAGGATAGGAGACATATAGAAACGATAAGGAGAAAAAAAGAAAAAAAGGTCTGCCTAGCCAGGGAATGACATAGGCTTCTTCTTCACATAGTCTACAGTAGTCAGGAACACTGTTGACCCATATTGAGGTCTGATTTCTGATACTGCAGTGATCAGTCAGTATGCCCAGACCTACTAAGTGATAAAAGGGAATTGGTTTTTCTCCTCGAGGGT